TTTTTAATTATTGCATATTTCCACAAACAATGAAGTTGTTGTAATTGTATAAAAAGCTTATTGACTTTTACTTGCACTCGTAATTAATTAAGTATCTCAACGTCGGAGAAAAGTGGGCAACTCTGACTTTTGCTATCGTAGTGGGAATGAGTGTAAAAAGAAGGTTAAGTAAATGAATGATAAAAATATACAAAAACTAAAATAAGATATAGCAGCTATTTAAAACTTCTACCGCTAAGACTTTGTTGCTTATTTCAATAAATTCTACTTAAAATATATATGACTTAAATCAGTTTATTAGTTTTAGAGCGAAAATCGCGTATAGATATTTCTTCAATATTTTTTATAATTTTTGCAGATGGCAACTCTGTTTATGAAAACATGGATAGCTCCCAAATCTCCTGGTCTGGTATCAGGACAGTTATATTTAGGTTTGCTTACAGCCCTAAACAGTTTTATTTTTGAAACAGATGGCAACTCTATTTTAAAATGCTTAAATAGCTTCAATTTAATTGGGGTGTTTAATACTTTTCGTTTCATACCTACATAAGCATATTTTACTCAAATTGTGTAATTTAAATTAAAAATGTATTTAGTAAATAAGTAGGTGGCAACTCTGTAAAAGATATCTTGGATCTAAAGTCTTTCAAATAAGCCTCTGTTAAATATTTATACTGCATGTCTTTTCCCAACATACATAAAAGTTTACTAAAAAATTCTATAACAATTCTAATTTATACCCGTACTTAAAATTGCATTTTTCTATTAAATATTATTTATTGCATTGAACCCAGAAATGAACCCACAGTGAGCAAAGTTTTAAAATTACAAATATATATATAATTTTTATGTGTTCAGGAAATTTCTTGAATTAAGTAATATGAATACTCACTCATACGCAAGCTGTAGGCTGGTCGTCTACGACAAATATGATGCAATGCGCGCGATTAAATAATCTGAAATAAAAATAGAATATAAATAATGTAGGTTAATTTAAGTTTAACACTCATTAAAAGTTAAATAATTGTGAAAGCTTAGAGTATTGCGAACAACAATGAATAGGAAATACGATAGCAATAGCAAAATAGATACATATGTTTTTTTTTTTTTTTTTGCAATGAAAAAAATATTTAGTGGTCGTGCAAATGGTATAGAATTCTTGAAAGTCAATATTTTTCGATCGGAAAACTCTGGTTCTCTTCAGGAGACTTGCAATAATGATACCCAATTATTTTTTACTACATTTTAATACTAGCGGGGGGGGGGGGGTTTTAGGGGTCCTGTAAAAAATAGTTAATAATAAAAAATGGTTAAATAAAAAAATTGGTATTTTTAGTGACAGTTTTACGAATGAAAAATATTGATTTTCAAGAATTCTATACCATTTCTAGGAAATATGGTTTTTTTCCCATATAATATATGGAAAATTTTGAGTGCTTTAGGCGACCTCTAAATATTTTTTGATTTCAAAATAAAAAACAGGGGGGAATATTTTTTCGGTAAGAAACAATTCTAGAGAGCGAGAGCTTAAATTCCGAATTTACTTCTTTTTTTTTGTACCATCCTAATGTACATATAGCAAATTCGATAAATGTAAGAATAATGCTAACAACGGTATTGTGGATTGATTTTTGTAAAATTTAGTTGGTGATTAAATATTAGTCGCAATGCATTTTTTAACAATTTGCTAGACCTTTGATCTGCTATTTCCTTCTAGCTCTCAGAAGGCTCATTTCCCTTAATCAAAAATTCATCTAACCTATTCCTGCTTTGTGGAAGATAAAAGCGAGTTAGTCGATGGAGCCGCTAATTCCTTTAGGGCTGATTGGCTGTCAATGAATGCATATTTACAGGTGATTCATAACAAATTAGAGCCGCTTAAGTTTCAACAAATATCTCAGCCTGGAAAATGCTGCGCTTGCTCGGAAGCTTATATGACTCTTCAAATGTAAGCTCCAGACAAGAAACAGCAGCTCGCAGTAATAGGCATACAGACAAAGACTATCGTAAAAAAAATTTCTAAAATTCCGTAATATTTAACATTGGATTTGTTTATTTAATTTTTTTTCTAGCCACAGCATAAACATTCACTGAAAATGAAAATAAATTAACAACCTTATCAGACACTTCAGCGCCATCAAAAACGCACTTCAAAGTTGTAGCAAATGTGCGCAGGGGCGCCTAAAAACAAAATAGCACAATAAAAAATGAAAAAATAAATAAATAAAAATCGGATAAAAAGCAGCAAAACAAGTGTAAAAAAGTTATCTTTCATACAATAATTCCCATATCATCAACAACAAACAAAGTGGAATTGATTTCACCTGCGGCTGAGTGTTTACACATACAACCACTTACATAAGTATTTGCTTAAGTACTGTAAAAGTGTTTACCTTTCAAGGTGACTTTTTATAACAATTACAAATTGACGCTTTGAGAATTATTTGCGGATTTAGTATGGTAATTCAGTGAGTCAATTATATACATGCATACATACATAAATATGTATGTAAATATGTACCTAAAGTGAAGGCACTTTAAAAGCATTTTGCAAATCACTTTTTTGTGATATCAATGAATGGGATTTAACTTTATTGCTTTTGTTTTAACACGTTGTATGGTAATTTTTTTTTTTTTTAATTCACATTTTGAATTTGAATTTGCATATGCATTTTAGCTCACATGATATTCGAATTAGTTGATTTGAAACAAAAAAAAAAATGAAAAAAATCAGGTGGAAGTCTTTGATCAAACAAAGATATAGTAGCGAATGGTGTTTTCGTTTCTTCCAAAAAATGTTGGCCTTCCACAATGCAAAATGATTTGACCACATAATTTGCGAGTGTCCAGTCTTTAGCAGACAAAGTTAGTGGCAGCAACTCAGACATTTTCGGTTTAAGGGTTCGAAATCCGCAACTTAAAAGTCCTTTCTAGTGAAAAAGAACAGCAAACATTTGTAGGTGCCCTTTCCCTCTTTTGTTACGACATCGGCAAACGTTTTAAGCCTATTTCTTTTCTTTTGCTTGGTTTTTTCTTTTATCGAGGAGGAGGAACGACTGGCGTGCCAAAATCACTTAAGCGGTCATAGCGCTAATCACGAAACGAAGAGGTGCAGGTATAAAGTGTTTAACTTTTTTAAGAAAAGAATTTTCCACAGACATCATATATCAAATTTAAAACGAGTTGGGTTGGTGCTCTTTCATATGCGTATTTTTTTAAATTTAGCACGTTTTTTTTTTAATTCTTAAATTTTTTCCTCTCAGTGTAATGGGAATGGGAATTTAATGGTCATTGTAATGGTGATTGTAAAGGTAATGGTAATGGTATTGATAACGATGAAGGTAATGGTAATGGCAACCGTACTGAAATAGGAATGGTATTTGTGATGGTGATGATAACGGTAATAAAAATGGTTTTGGTATTGGTGGCGGATTTTTACTAAAGCTTGTAAAGCGTTGAAACAACGTTTCCAATTAAATATTTAACCTTTTAAGAGACATAACAAATTAATTAAAAATTTCACGAAGTGCAGTTGTAACAACAAAAAACTCGTATGTGATAAAACAAAAAATGTAATTACCACATACACACATTCAAACAAATGCATACCAAACATTCATGCTTTTATTGGCATCGTGTGACCAAACCCCATGGCGTATACGCAACACACAAATTTGCAAAACAGAAAATTACATAACTTAACAGCAACAAAAACAATTGCCTCGTCAAACCACCATACGACGTGCATAAAAAGAAGCGTGTGAGACAATAAAACGCTCACTTTTACCAAACTGATAATTTGTTTATCAGTATACGTATGTACACATGTATACTAGGGTGCCTCGCCAAAAAAAAAAAAGTTACCGTTTTTCCACTGGAATTATACAATTTATTTTATTATAAGTCTTTTGCGACAATATTTCGCAAAAGGATTAAAATTACTCCAAAAATAGAGTTGTTTAAATAAAAAATTTTAAAAATATTTTTTTTTTTTCAAA